CCTATCAAGTTTTATTTTTTTCCATAATTTTATTGAGAAACAAATAGCAATGAGACAGTTTCAAACCAAATTGGTAGGACAGTTTCAATAATTAACACACCACATACATTCTTCCTATTTAGTCTAGAGTTTATTGCTTTAGGTTTTGCAGGGCACAGTGTTTTGGAAAAGGTTCTCACATCATTTGATGCCTATCACCCACCAAGATCTCTGGTCCAGCGTAATCCCCTCACTGTAGAGAGGGGACCCCAAGATGGGGAGATTAAGTGGTTTGCTCAGCAACTCCGAGAAGTACAGTGACCCTGGGCGCCAGCTTCCTCAAGCAGAAGACACAAGAATGAGACCGTGTGATCTCATTTGTCATATTTCAGACACTTAACATCAGTTATGAACTAGATTTAGTCATATGGGTAGACCTTAAAGCAGAGCTGAGTAAAGAAGCACAGTGAGATTCATGTATGTTCATTTATAGCAATTAAAATAACATACTTGTGCACTGTATAAATCTTTTTTTTAATTTTTAAAAATCTTTTATTTATTTATGTATTTATTTGGTACAAGGTCTTGCTACACAGCTTGGACCCTGTCTCAGCCTCCCCAGTGCTGAAATTATACCTGGTTTTGTTAGCAGGCACAGCACGCCCAGAGTCCTGGGGCTGGCACAGCGTGCTGTACCAGGGATCGAATCTGGGTCCTTGCACTTGCCAAGTAGGCACTTAGCCCGCTGAGCTATCTCCCCAGCCCATCTTAGGCTTTTAGGTCACAGTCTCTGTTGCATATTTTCCCATTTGCTTTTATTGTTTTCAGAATGTTTTGTTTGGTTCCAGCTCTTTAATAATGTAAGAAACACTTTTCATGACTCCTGGGCTATATGAAAACAGTTCCTGGGCTGAATTTGGGACATGGGCAGGAGTTTGCCAACATTTTGATTGTGTGACTGTTCCATCGATCATTCCTCCATGTTCCTATCAGTGGACATTTAAATTGTGTCCAGGTTGTCCTTGCTCCCCACCAGCGACTCCAGACATCACCGTGTGTGAGTCCTTCGGGTTGCACTCCCTGGGTCAGAAAGGCTGGTCCCAGGTGGGAGCATCTGTGATTCCACAATGCAGCACCAGCTTTCTCTGCACACTAGGGTGGGGAGGAGAGTCTTGTATCCTCAGCCGCCGCTTCCAAGAGCCCTGTTGCTCCACATGCTCACTATAAATCTTATATACTTGGTACAGACCTACATCAGACTCTAGAGGCAGGATGCCTGTTAGAGAGGAAGGAGTGGGAGAAGATTCTGGGATGAAGGGATTGGCTGACAAGAGTTTGCTAGTAACTGAGGCATAAAAA